AAAAAGAAAGAAACGATGATTTTTAAAGAAAGGGAGGGAAGAAAATTATTCTTTTTTTAAAAAACTTAACCTAATTGAAGTGTTTTCTTAAAAATTCACGAGGCAGTGAAATTCAGCTGAGGGTGATACGAATGTGTGCGGGTAGTCAGTGACACAGATTTCACCGTATAATATATGTGCAGATTACACCCCGCTGCGTGGGCTTGGAGGACTCGGTGAAGATGCGGCGTCTCGCTTCCTCTCTACGAATTCCAGAGTTTCGGAGCGGAGACGATCGCTGTCCCGGACTGCTAAGCCCCAGACCTGGTGGGCTGAGAGGCGCCCTTCCGGATTTGCGGACCTCTAACGCGAGAGACGCTAGGGGCTTCCTGATTTATGCGCATTCCTTTAAAGTTGATCGAATGCGTGTCAGCAGCCCAAGACCCGGAGAATCAGAGAAATGTGCAGCGAGTAGCTCACATCCCATTTTTCATAAGCAGTGATGTAGCGTTATCCAAGCGGTCTGGGGAGATTTATGCCTAGGTTTTAGGACCCGCACACAATAATTAAGTTTTCAACTGCTAGGCCGCCGGGTAAATAACAGCCGGCCTCACTCTTTATGAAAACACCCACTTTCTGATCGGCTGCTTCGACCCTCGCACATCTACCTAGCGCCGCCGAATGCCTGCGAGGTGTTTGCTATTTTTAATTTGATTTTAAAGGGAAGAGAAAAGACGCCGGCACGGAAAAATCCCTCCACCGAAGCAGCTAAGGCCTTGTCACAGCTGACTTCATTTTTTCCCGGCTCCGTCGCGCCGCTGAAGGCTGGATGCCCCGGGCAGAAAGCATTACAACGGCCTCTCCGAGACGCTCGACCCTTCGCGGGCGGCGGTGCGCGGCGCGGGACTCGCCCCGAGTGCGGGGCCGTGGACGAGCAGGAGAGGCGCTGCTGCGGACTCCGAGCGCCTGCTCCCCGGGGGGCAGAGGCGAGGCTCGAAATCCTCCATGCTTCTAAAGGAACCCTCTACTCAAAATGGAGGCTCAAACCCTTCCAGAGCCGGCCTCGCTCGGAAGGCTTGCGTGTGGAAGGAGGAGTGCCGCAGAGCGCTTGGCCGAGGTCAAGGCGCCGGACCCCCAGGCCCGCGCCAGGCGGACTCTGGAGGGCCCGGCCGGGCACCCGCGCCGGGGAGTCGCCCGGCAGCTGCAGGCTGACGTCACGGTCGCCCGAGAGCGGGCCTTCGCGGGCCTCTCTAGGCGTTGATGAGGACAAGCCGATTCAAACGAATGTTTTGTGCGGGTGCCCGCTTCTCCGCCCCGCCCCGCCCTCCCCAAGAGAATAATCGGGTATTTAATCTCTCCCGGTCTTAATTCTTGGCAGCGTGGAAGGTGGTTTGCACGGGAAATAAAACTTGACAGGAGCATTTTCTCCAAAAGGGGTTCTGAGACGGGCTGAAAAGAAACCGTGTTTTTGTTTTTCTCTACCAAATACTTCCGCTTTCTGAACCCCGGGCCGAGGGGTGGGGTGACATCCGAGGGAGCAGAGAGCGAGCTGGGCACGCAGGACAACGCGGTGCACCCGAATCGGGGCGCTCCGGGCAGCCCCGGGTCTCCGCCTGGGCCTGGGCCGGGAAGCAGCCTCGGGCCTCGCTGCGCCCAGCGCTCTGCGGCTCGGCTCGGCCCGGCCATAGGCCCGGCGCCGCCCGCAACCCGACGCCAGGACCCCGCTCCCGGGAAGCTGGCACCCAAAGTAATACCCTGGCATTGGCTACGGGCGGCTGGGCTCAAATGAGAGAAGGAGGCGCTGGGGAGGGTCTTGGACCGCTTGGCTTTAGCCCTGAGCCTTTTAGCCAAGGGGAGTCGGGGACCAGAGCTCGCAAAGGAGGTGGTGAGAGCACTGCTGGGGGCTTTGTTTCGGCTGCGGGTCTGCAGCTATTGCACAAAATGGAGGGGGGCGAGGGGGTGAGCGGCGAAGCTTGCGTGGGTTGTCCGGGCTGCTATTGGGTGGGAGAAGCTGGAGACAGCAGAATTCCCCTCCCGGCAGCTCAGAGAGCGCCCTCCCCTCGCGCCGCAAAGGTCAAGTCCTCCGCACCGTGGCTGCCTTCGCGGTCAGGGCCGCGGCGGACGCAGGAAGCCGCAGGACCCACACTTGGCCGGCTGCATGCAGGTTCTGATAGCCCGGGCTCTCGGACTGGAGGCGGCGGTCCTTTCCTGGCTTCCAACTTTGTCGCTCCCAGCCCGACTGAAAAGGAGTTCCCGCAGCCAGGGTTGGCCCAGGCTATGTCCCCGTCGAGTCCTGGAAGAGCGGGTCCAGGAGACTTCGGAGCCCGAGGAGGCCTAGCCCCGAAGAGAGGCAGAGCCTGCAAGCTCAGGAGAGCGGATGTGGCTGGATCGGAGCTCTGGGCTCCGGCAGAAACAAGGGACCCGCAGGGCCTGTGGGCCAGCAGGGCCAGGAATAGGTTAGGGGAGCAAGGACCCTGCTGCGAACCTCTCTTAAGGTCCTTGAGTCCAGGTACGCTCTTTCAAGTGCAAGCTGATGCTTTGTGCACTTTGATGCTCTTCTTCTCCTGCCTAAAATCTGGGCCAAGAAGTGAGGTGCACTCTGCCAAAGGTAAAAATCCCTGACTCCGGGGGGGGGCCCCCAAACCCATTCACTGTGTTCTGGCGGCGTGGGAGCCCCTGCCCTCTGCCCAAAGCTTGCCTGCAGCAGGTCACACATCAGATGCAATGATAAACAAATAACTTTCATGAGGTCTGCCCTAAGCTTATTGCCCCAGGTGAATCAAAGAGGCCCTGCAAAGGATTTCATCTTTTTTTTTTTTTTCCACAAAAGACACAAAAGCTGGGCTTTATCCCTAGAGCTGCATGGGTGAGCAGGGCCTTGAGGGGACACTAGCTGGAGGAATTGTGCATGGATAGGTGCCATCACAGAACTGCCTGGAAGGGCATGTAGGGGAGATTCCTAGGGCAGGGTTGGGATGGGCATGGGCTAGCTCTTTTCAAGTACGGAATGTGAACCATGGATCGCCGCCCGAGTAGAAACAGAGGAGCCTGGGGAACTGCCCTAAGAGGCAGCTGGAGCTTGGGACATGGAGGCTTCCTGCGAGCCACAGCTGAGGGCCAGGGCTGCCCTTCTGGTTGGGCCGCCCCAGCTGAGGGCCAGGGCTGCCCTTCTGGTTGGGCCGCCCCCTTTTGTCCTCTTTATTGCAGATACCCTCGGCTGGAGAAACCCGTTTGAGCCGAAGTTTCAGGGAGAATGGACAGCAGACGCCGAGAATCAGGGCTTTGTCCTTTAAAGTTTCCCATACTCCATTTGTTCCCATTTGATAAGGGGGGGGGGATTTTTTTTTTTATAATGAATCTACAATAATAAAAATAAAAATAGTTCTTCTCAAAGGAAGTAACTCTCTCCCATCAGTTTGGGACCCACTAAACTAAATATAACCAGATCGCTTGGGTGTCTAAAACCCTCAACTGAGCCCTATGCCCCACTCTTCAGTGGCCAGGGGGAGGATGTGGACTTCTTCAGCTGTTTAGGGGCCTTGGAGGATTGAATCTGTGAGTCAATCTTCGCGGTCAGAGAACCAACCGTAAGGCCCAGTTCAAGGCATTACCTGTTCCTGTGCTATAGGGAAGTGTAGAGGAGCTTCTGGACAGGAGGGTGCCTTGCCAAGCCAAGGGGATAATGAGCTAACCCCTGCCTCCACCTAGTAGTGAAGAGAGAGTCTCCTAATATTTCGTTGTAGCCTCAGGGCCACCTCTGGACAGCGCCTGGAAATGTGATAGACTGGCCATGATCTGCCGATAGACTGTTCCCTGAGAACAAATACTGGAGATGTCTTGGGCTCTCACAAACAACCCGTTACCCAGAATCACGATGGAGGACAGATGCACCTCCAGACACCTCCCACCTGGAAGGAGACAGCTCCCAAATAAAAGCCTGGCCTCCAACCCTAGAAAAGACTCTGTGGCTGTTTTTACCTTGGGCCACCAGTTGCCTTTTGCACCTGTGTGCAGTATGGTCACTGGGGTTGAAATAGTCTTCAATGGAGCTTTCTAGAAATAGGTGTGACATTTAGGGACCGAGGTTGCTAGGGGCTCAGTCCAACAAGAATAGGAAAAAAAAAATTGGTGCCCTAAGTGATCCATAGATAAATGACTGTAGATCTTTGCAAGTGAGTTTTGGTTTGTCCAGTGAGCCTGACCCCTCCCAGGCTGGCTGCCATCCAGGAGCTAGGTCCCAAGAAGAGAAGAACGGAGTACTGGGGAGAGAGGGGAGAGAGAAAAAGGACATGGTAGAGCCTTGGGATGGAGTGTTCAGAAGAATGAGGTAAGATATCGAGTTCAGACCCCTGGTGGAGGCCTAAACTGGCGGGGGGCGGGGGTGGGTCCAGGAACCTAACAGTCCTCCTTCTCTGTGCTTGAGGACTGGGTGCCCTCAGTTCTTGCTCAGCCTAGGAGGGGTATCAGAAAAGGCAGGAGGCTGCAGAAGGGGAGACTCTGCTGGAAAGAGGAGGACAGGGAGACGGGTGAGCAGGGGCTGCCGGGAGACAGGATCAGCTAAGGGGGGAATGTGGTGAGCGCGCAGCCTGGTATTGGCATTCACACTACTGACTACATGCAGAGCAGTCAAGAGGCTGCAAGTGCAGGCACTGGGGACTTCAGATTCTCAGAGCTGGGGGTCAGTGAGCCGGTCCCAGTGCCCAAGCTGGCACCAAAGAGAAAAGAGGGCAGCCCAGCAGCAGTGCCACATGGGGTTGGGAACCCAGAGTCTGGAGTTACTCCCTGCCCACTGCTCTGTTTCTCCCTTGGAGTGAGCAGGTGTTAAGCTGCCTATCAAGTGACAGTCCTTTCAGCTCATGGCCCTCAAATGACTGCGCTGGAAACGCCCCCAGCATGACAACCGCCGGTGGGAAAGCTTCACGTCGCCCTGGTGCGCACCGACTGCACCAAGGCTACCCGGCCTGGGCACCGCCAGCAGGCACCCTTCGGCTACAAGAAGAAGTAGAGGCGGCAGTGCTGGGCAGAGGCACCTGGACGCAATTTATTCCAGTATCTTGCCTGGGAAGGTGGGTGGGGCGCAGGACGCAGGAATCATCCCCACCAGGGCCCACTCAGCCGCAACAAGGAGGATCCGGGAGGTACTGCCGAAGCCCTCAAACTCCCCCTCCCCCGTTTAGGGCCAAATCAAACGGAGCCTTGCGAAGGCTTGGTCTGCTTTGCTGAGCAAATCGCCTTGTTAGCCGTTTCCACTTGACAGGGCGGGCTCGGGAGCCATCCTTCTCCCCTCCGGGTGGCCGTCTCCAAGCGAAAGGGCCCGGCCCTGCGAGGGCTGCCTAGACCTTGAAGTTTGGAAAAACAACAAGAAGAGATTGAAAAGGCTCCCTCCCTTCTCCACAGACACACACGAACCATCAGGCCGCCGCCACTTCCTGCCTTTGTTTTTCTTCCTCCAGAACATTTTTGGCCTTTTGCATTAGCTGCCGTGGGGTTCTGGGTTGAGGATAAAAGGAAATACATGCTGGAGACTGTTTTCTGGAGATGGCCCCGCGCTGTGGAGCTCCGGAGAAAGGACAGTTCATGGGCAACCAGCTGCCAGGGCCAATGTCCTAGCCTTGCCCACTCAATCTCTTCAAGAAATACAACTCGGATGTGGCTTTCCAGGGTGGCCTCAGCACCCGTCAGGTCTTCCCTGAGCCGGGTGGGCTCCCTTCAGCTGTTGGGCCTCCTGCAAAGCGGAAGAGTCAGTTAGGCTCAGAGCAAAGTCAAAACCGAGGAGCTGCAGTTCTGCCTCCCCGGCTTCCCCAGATTTGATCTGATCCTCAGATCTGCGACCACCCCCAACTACACACCCCCCATGCAAACCTTCACTCTGTCAGTGTATTCCGGGCAAGAGGGCCAGGAGCGGACAAAGCTGGGAACAGTGCGAAGCCTTGGGGATCGGAGCACCCCCTCCTGTCTCTGCTGGGGAAGTAAAAGCATTCGCCACTCCAGGCGTTTTCTCTTCTCCTGCCATCAAAAGCCTTTCCCTTCATCCATCTTCACCGCAGCACCCCCACACACCCTCTTCCAGGCTGCGTGCCCCTCCTGGCACCCCACATTGGTACAGCCTTCTGAACTGCCCTGCCGACCGCTTTGGGACAGCCTTCCTCCAGCCTAGCCTTTCCTCAGAAATTTGTCTTTGTCTCTTGCAGACACCCATGGGATCCAGACTTGCTGGCACCCCCTCGGCTTGGCTCTCAAGGACATGGGAGGCATTGATCATGCAGAACAGCATATACCCCCATACTGACCTTTCTGCCGGGACCCCCTCTCCCTGGCACCTAGGGGAAAACCGATCTAGTTAGGAGAGGGGCTGCGTGCAGCTGGGGGAGGCAGCTTGGCGTCCCCCCGCGGGCGGGCCACCGCAGCCAGTCTGCTCAGGCACAAGCTGAAGTTGACTGCCAAAACTGCTATAAAACCCCAGGTCTGTCTAGAACTGTTTTCGGTTCTCCTAGACGCCCCCGGGTTCAATTATAGTCTTAAAAGCCCTAATACAAGTGCAAGAATTTGTTTGCCTTCACCCAGGGGCGGGGCAAGCCCCGAAATGGTGGCGCCTTTGTTATGGCAAAGTCACTGAAACCCCTCAAGCATTCCTTTTGTTCGAGGGTCGGGGTGGCGGGGACTGGGTGGGCTGCCGGGAGATAGTTTGGGAGAGCCAAAATCAAGCCAGGGAACAGCTCAGATACTACTGTTCGCAAACCTCTCCCTCTCCCTTTTATATTCTGTCTCCAAGAAAGAGATGCTGTGGAGAAATAAATATTTTGCCTTGTTGGTCACTGCTGGAAATCAAAGTTTTTTCACTGCAGGGCAATCCCGTAACTGTGATTCCCAGCTTTAGGAGGTCTCAGGCTGCCCTTCCCCAGCAACCTTCTTCCCCACGAGACCTTCTCACCCACACCGCTGATGCCCTCTGCACAAGCCACAGTGGACAAATAGGTCAAGCTGAAGATGCACAAATAATTTTAAGTTCAACTCTCAGGGATTCAAGGGATATGAAAGTTCTTGAAGCAAATCCTGAATAAAGAGTTCATTAAACCAATGTGCCCGAGTAGTTTGATTTGTGATAAGAAACCCTTGTAAAGGAAGGGGGTAGGAGCCACATAAACATTAATGCTAATAAATTAGTTTACTCCACTGCAGAGTAATTACTTGATATTATTGATATTTACAGCGGGTATTCAAACGCAATGGTGGACCATCATTTGGAGAAAATACATAATGAGAATAGTTCTTTTCCAGTGCAATACATGATTAGATTTGTTATTCAGTCAGTTACAGTCAGCTCAGCAATAAATAAATAAATCGATGTTGACACTTAAATACCAAAGATCTTAGAGTTTATACTCTAAATCTCCCCAAGATATATAAATACCTTCAGCTATTTCCTGGATGGGGAAAGGGAAAAGGTTATCCTTTTTCATTTTTCGACTTTCCTTCAGCGACATCCAGCTCCTTCCAAGAAGATAGGTGTGGGGAGGCCTCTGGGCCCCTCCCAGTCGCCGGTCCTGCTTAGCTGCTCTATGCCCTCTTCTTTCACTTCTCCCAAACGTTGATCATCCAATCCTGCAGGATGGCAAGCCCTTTTCACCATCTTAATTTTTTTCTTTCCTTTTCCCAAAAAAGCTAGTCTCCTACCACAGCTATGACCCCTGTCTCTATCTTTGGCTCAAACCTAGCCTTTTCAGGGCGTTCTTGTCACCCACAGTGCCAGGAGTTGGGGAAGCATGGCTCTTTTCTTTAGCATTATGTTCCTTCTGTGGGATGAGTAGCAGAAAAGGCGCCCAGCCTTCTGAGTTTCTTTCTGCTTGCACATCACTGGCTCTCACGCTTTGCAAGGAAGGAGAGGAGGCGGGTTACCCCTTTCTCAGCCACAGCTCCCTGGCCCTAGCCTCCTTCCTTCTCACTGCCCTCACTCTCCTTCAACTCTGCAGCTCTGCTGGCGTCCTGATGGGCCCCCGGAAGGTGCAGCATACCCAGGAAAGGCTCCTCGGATGTCAGCGCCTCTAAGCAGCCCAAGGCTCGCCTCAACTGCGTGGTTTCCCGAGTCCTCAGCTCCAGAAGACCAGGCGGGCGTGCACAGTGGCGCAGCCCCCACGCGTCTGGCTCCGCTGAGTGACTCCAACCCCCGGCAGGCAGCGAGGAGGAAGGGGTTTCTTCAAGGGCAAGGGGTGGAGTGAGGAGGCCGGCGGGGAGGATGAAGTGGAGGTGGATCCCGGGTAAGACGAAGGCCCTTCCGGGACCTGCAGATGCCTGACAAACCGCGGGGGAAGCCGCCCTGGTTGTTGGCGGTTTAGGGACGGAAGGCACTAAAGCGCTTCGGAAGTGACCATGAATGCGAGCGTGTAATCAAGTCACCGTGCAAATCGGGCAAGCCACGAGGCAGGCACATCCACGGCTGCGAACCCTGGCCCCGAAGGGGTCCGGCCAGAGTCGGAGACAGAGGTGGTTCCCAGAGCAAGCTTGTGGGAGGGGGATAGCGAAGGAGGTGCGAACGCGAGCCTCCAGGAGAATAGATTCCAGGACCGCGCACCGGCCACGCAGCGACGAGCTCCCACCCGGCCACCCCCAGCCCGGGGCATCCCTCACCCGGGGAGTGATGGGTGGCAGGAGTTGAGCTCTCTCACCGCCCTCGGCGCACTTGAGGGCCAGGACCGTGCCGCTGAGCACAAGCGAGTGGCATGGGGCGCACCTCAGCCTCGCCGCGCGCCGGGAGGCCCCCCAGCCAACATGAGTTACACCGGCGATTACGTGCTTTCGGTGAGAACACCGAGTGACGATCTGTTGCTTCCCCTGAGGTGGCTACAAAGAAAGGAAGCCGGGGAGGGGGGGGGG